TGGACGCCATCACCGCACGCAGCCAGGGTGTACCTTCTGTCTGAGTTTTCCTTTCCCTTGTCTGCTGCTCCCCTGAGGAAGACCCACTGTCACACGTGACACAGGGTCCCTGGGGGCCAGGTGCTGCATCTTAAACTGCAGCCTTCGGGGTGCTTCCAAGCCAAGTGGAGAACTCCCCTCAGTGCATTGTGGGTAACAGCGAACGCCCCAATCCTGCTCCAGCAAACTGCTCAGAGGGCGAAGACCTGCTCCTGGGGCCTCCCCTCTGGCTGTATGTCACAGCCCCACGTCCTTAGGCTCCCAATGCCCTCAAGATGATGGCCTCTAGAAGAGCCTGACTGACCGCGGACGGCGTGGTCTCGCCGAGAGGTGACAGTGGCCGCAGAACCCGAGCAGTCACCGCCACGTCACAGCACTGCTGGGTATCAGTCAGCGGCTGCCAAGTTCTTTACCATCACAAGTGTTACAAATGTTTACAGAACGTAGGAAAACCCCCTACTAACTACTCAACAGGAAACGCACCACAAGCAAGCAAGACCCCAACAGCAGATGCCTGTACGTTTCCGAAGGGTTGCAACCGGAAACGCTCGACACCATTTGTGTTTCCCCACCCTCTTTAAGTGGCTACACACAGGCCTCTCCTCCACGGTTGTGGGCTCTGCTTACACGGTCCCAGGAGGCACCCACCGCAGGAGCTGGCCATTCTCGCCTGCCCACTACGACACCACAGTGAGGGCCGTGGGGCTCTGCACTGCACGCCAAACACCCAAATGGCACACAGCTTATCATTAATAATAAAATGCGACTACCCAATCCACTGGGGAACGCCAGGGAGCTACAGCCTGGGACGAGACTGGGCGCTGCAGCCGAGGCTGGGGCTGGGGGGCTGTGGCCAGGGCGGGGGCCTGCAGAGAACACTCCAGCACCCCACCTCTTAGGTACCACACACAGTGCCTCTGACTGGTACACAAGTCTGGAACGGTTTCTAAAGTCCCATCTTTTTCCATTTCGCAAGCCTCGAAATGGTATTTTATTAGATATTCATCAATGACAGAGAACTAATTTCAACCAAGCGAACGGGTTTTAACATGCTGATTTCAATTTCTATGACTTGAAAAACCGGTGTTTGTTGGCTCCCTGTGACCAGCTAGCTGATGCCGACATTTGAAGTTCAATTTTTCGAGAAACAGTTATTCTCCTTCCATAATGATACCACCTTGGAAACTCAAGGAGGGGTTGCTATGAGTCGGGTCCGACTCAATGACACACAACACCACCCCACAACTAAAGGAGGTGAAGACACATCCCGAGGGGGCAGCAATGCACAGGGCATGGAAGGGGCAGGATCCGAGGCTGAGGCCCCGCACAGACACCTTGAGTCGAGGCGATGCCCGCCTCCAGCAGAGTGTCAGCAGCGTGGGGTGGACACGACTGAGCCCCTCTCAGGGCTCCCAGGAGGACCGTGCAGCACCCACCTAGGCGGCTTTCCCAGGGGAGCACAGCCCACGGACACCAGCTCCTATCTGAAAACCTCACGGACCACAGTTCACGAATCGCACGGGGTCAGCATGTGCTGGACTGACTGGACGGCAAAGGGAACACGTGGAGTGAGGATTCCCTGGACGAGTGGGTGACCCCCGACCACAGTGAAGACCACTCGGGGGGTGGGGGTGACGCAGTCTGGGTGGAAACGCTGACGGCCAGAGCAGTTCTTCAGAACACCTGGGGCCCAGTGCAGTGCGGTACTTTCAAGGCCCCACTGGTCCACGTGGGGAGCGTTCTAGATCTGACTCGGGGTGAAAACTGCCCTGTGCTTTCCGTGATGGAATTCCAGCAGACGGCTAAATGATTACACATTTTCAATAAACTTGTTTGCAGAGTAAAATGCTTCAACAACTGATAGCTGCGAACTGTTAATTCATGTTTAAAAACCATGATGAAGAGGTCACACACAGTGGGACAGAAAGGTAAGGTGAGAATTAGGAGTGCGCCAGTGATGGGATTTTAGACAAATACCATATCCCTTTTTGGAGCCACAAGTATCTACAAATATGCAAAAAGCAATCCAGGCATAGCAGCACAGATCAACGTATACTTTGACTTTTGTAGAGCTGTCTGGTCTGACACAATCCACTACATTACAAATAAATTCAAGAACAATGTGTGTTTACTGCATTTCTTTTAGACGATAAGGATTTTAAGAAAACATGTCCCACTTGGAAATCCTTCAACTCTAACAAGGATTAATTAAAGGCAAAATGTTGATTTTAACCTCAAAATCACACAGGAAGACAAACCCCCAAAGCTGAATCTACCCTCTTCCTTCCAGACACAATCAAGAATATAGAGTGAGGGGGAAGAAGGACACGTGAGGCAAGCCCAGGTGTGCACACACCTGGGCTCAGTAATGGCCTCCAAGGCACCCGTTAGCGAGGTTAACTGCAGCGAAACCCACGGAGAATGACTGCAAGGCGGAGCCGACCGTAGGTCCAGCCGCGTGAAGGCGGCAGCGAGCCACTCCAGCAGCGAGGAAGGCGGGGCTGGGACAGAGAGGAGGAGCCTCTGGGAGCCGTGCCCAAGGTCTGGGCAGTTCGCCCCACTGGTCTGCTGATGTGAGCAGAGGCTGCGAATCTTTGAACGGAGTCTCAGGGCAGGAACACAGTAAGTCGGGCTCAGGAGCCACTGAGGAAAAACCCTCATCAACCAGCAGGCTTTTGGTGAGCACCCCGAAGGGCTGTACTTTAGAATGACGGGGACCAGAAATAAATGTGGAATCAGGGGCCTGAGACCAACACTGAGTCACCTCAGACCTGATGACCATGGAGTTGTGATGCTCAAGGTCAAGGAGCAAGACTGAATGCACTGAAAGGTGTCTATCACCATCCTGGACCTCGCGTCATCCCACAACTGTTCACATGCAAAGCCCGACACTCCACATAAAACATGGGGCACCAGGCACGTGAGGAGACAGAACTACCGACTGGCTGGTGGCTGAGTGCTTAACCCTGGCTGGCAGAACGGGGAAGCGCTCGAGCACTGGCAGGAAGACTGAGGGTGGGAAGCCAGGCAGCGGGCCTTGGAGGGAGGCTGGCGATTTGCTTCTCAAGGATCAGGGCCTGTGGGGCACGTGGGGTCGCCAGGAGCCAGCATCGACAGCACACGTCTGAAGCTGCCGCACGGGCTGATGCTCCCACGGGCTGTGTGCGAGCTCTTGCTGTTCCGTGGTGGCGCCAACACTTGTCACTGTCGCTCATTTCACTCCAGCCACGTCCGTGCAGCTCCTCCCTTCCGCTGCAGCTCTCTGGGGGCCAGGAAGGGTTTCCAGACGGGAAACTGCGGGCTGTCCAACAAGGAATGCCGCAGGGCAGTGAAAATGAATGACACCATCCGTCTACGCCATGACCACATGGAGGAGACGGGAACCGAAGCACGGAAGCAAGCTGCAGAGGCGTACCTGTGGTAACTGCCACCGTGAGGTGAGAACACAGGCAAAATGAAGCAAGATGCACACTGAGAAAAGACGGCGCCACGCGTCAGCGAGGAGAGGGGAGGGCCGGCCAGGGAGGCACACGGAGAGCCTCAACGGTGAGCGGAATGTTCCTCTGAGACTACGATGCTTGTTCCAGCATTTTCTTTGTTTGATGGTCCTTTATACCTTAACACAAAACCACACCCACTGCCCTGGAGTCCATTC